CCCGGCCCGCGCCCTCTCGCCCGCTCCCCTGCTCTGTTGCTAATGGCGAATCCGGGGGATGAAACGCACCCGGGCAAGACCAGATAATTTATCGGGGCTTTGGTGATGAGCCGCTGTTTGGCCGTGTGGCCCACCGGGCGAGCCGTTTCGAACTGGTCGTCTCTATTCCGCCCTTCCTCCTATACGATAGACGGTCCCAAGTTCCTTATTGGACGGCGCTCCTGATGGACGATTCGATAAGAAGAAATCAGGAAGAAATGCGACGAGCATCAATTTGGCCGCCCATGGGAGAGATAAGCTGGCCGCCACGATGCTTGTAGATTTCGTCCAGATTCATTATTCTTGCCCAGAGAGGTAGCTCAAATCGTCTATGGTCCTTCGTAGTCACCATCTCTCGGTACGGTATGATATCGGTGCCACGCTCCCGACGAGCTCCGCACGCCCGCGTAGTTAGGCTGTACAGCACGTCGCGCGTGCGGGCGGGTTGCCTACTCGATCGGCGCCACGCTGTCACAGGGCAGAGCACGGGCTGGCCTCGTCTGTTCGTTGCGGCTGATCATTCCCCCTATCGTCGTTCCTCCGCACAGGTTGTCTCTAGCATAGCCCTCCGTCCGAGTCTCTCCCCTCTAGGCCCTTGTCATCATCCTCCCCCAGGTCCTGGTCGTCCCCACCAGGTACCGCCACCCATCGCGCGCCACCCTTGGCCCAGCCCATTAGTGCCCTCCGCAGCACACAATGCAGCTTGTTGCCAAAGTAATGACGAGCAGGTCGCACTCACGAGGCCCCTCCCCGCCCTGCCCCGCCCGCGACTCGCAGCGCCGCTTACGCCCTTTGTGCTCCGCGAGCCCCCCAACTTCCTTTCTGAAGCGCGCGGTGATATAAATTATTGTTATTTCGGGTCTCTCCCCTCCTCCCCACCCCCGTCGAGCCCAGCAGAGAGTATAGGGGGAGGTGGTGGTGGTGAGTTCGACGGGGAACGGCACACGGCTAAGGGGTGCGTCTAAGATTGATAGCACTCTGTACGCAGGCCGGAGGCTGGGCGAAGGTGAGCAGACATAACATGAGGCTGGGCGAATAATCGTCTGCAATAAGCAGCACAGCCCCAAGCAGGCGACCGCGACGGCTCGGGAAGTTCGTGCGCCCGGGGCAGTATGAACCCATATCAAGCATGTCGTTTCCTCGGTCACGGCATGGTCACGGTCACTCTTCGTTTTCGCGCTGCCTGTGCCTTTCCTTCACATAGAAAAATTAATTGGCAATAGCAACTGTCTTATGGTTGGCTCAGGGATGATCGCTATAGCTAATTGTTTTTTTTCCTGGACAGTTTTTACTTCGCGTCGGTGGGTTTGGAAAAAATAATAATCCTGCACTTTGGCGAGACGAATGCCGACGAATGCCGATTAAATGTCGAGAGGTGGAGTGAGAGCAGGAAGAGCGACAGGCAGAGGCACCCAAACGCATAAATAATAACCAGATCCGCATATGTACATTTCTTAACCAGATCGCCGATAATGGAGACAGTATAAAGAGCGGTAGAGAGACGTGGAATGGCATGGCTGCCTTTATTTCTGACGGTGGCGGCGCGCGGTGCAGCCGAGCTCCCATCCAGCAGCCATTCATTGATTCTTGCTTTACTTTCCTCCAGAGCAATACCCATATACGACGCGGCGCGGCTCTCTTGCGGCTGCATAGATATGAGCGACTCCACGAGCGGCGGCATAACCCGTCATAGATTCCCCTCTCCCTTTCGCAAAAAGAATAATAAGAATTCAACAAAATTTATTGCGAGGCGTAAATTTAGGCCGTCTGGTCTTACGTCGACTCTCTACTATGGTGGGTTTCATGGTGTAGTCATGATAGTGGGACATAAGGTCTTACGGTCTTAGTTCCAACTATCATGGTGCAGTAAGTACCGGTTGTAACTGTGAATTCGCAGCAGTGTTGCGGGATTGCATACTCAATATGGCCGCAGGGGCCATGGCCCCTTACTGGTGTAAAGAGTAGGCAAACCCGCAACACTGCTGCGTATTCACAGTTACACCCGGTATGTTGCAGAGTAAAGGTAAGACGAAAGCAGGAGGCGCCCGCAGCGCACCCCCTGCCTGTGCCAAACCTTTGTTCGCCGTGGTCCTGGTCTCTCGTTCAGCTGGTTCAGCTCCGCCACCTGGCGAGCGCGCGGAGACAATGATCGAGGGTGGTGGCGACTGCGCGGGCCGGGTGCTGCCCAACAGGGCGTCCAGTGGGAGAGGATGTCCAGCAGGGACAAGCAAGCAGGCAGGCAGGCAGGCAGGCAGGTGTGACGGGCACTTACAGGCCGCACGGAGAGCGAGCGCGCTCTCCCGCTCGGTGCTCTTCTCTCTGATGAGGGCGCGCGCGTGCCCCGGGGAGCGTGCGCTCGAGTCGAGACAATGCGCCCGCACCTGGCCTCGCCCACCTGGCCCAAACCCTCCTCCCGTCCCCGCCTAGGTCCACCTCGCGCCGGAGGCCCGCCCGGAGGCTGATGGACGGGGGGTGCGGAGGGTCCGATTGACAGTCAGTTGGCAAGCAGCGCCGTCACTCCCATCATACACAGCGGCCCCCACCGCCCCGCATGGGGGCCCCCGGGGGCCCTTTCGGTACCATCTGGCGGCCCTTTGCGCCCTTCTGCCCCCCTCCCCTCAACGGGGCGCGCCGGGGCCCCCACCTGGACAGCCCCAATGAGAGACAGGGCTATTATTTCTCCGCGCCGTCTGTCTTCAACCCCAAGCTGCTGGAGAGCGCATTTCGGCCCTCATGTCAGCCGACGCTCGACTCGTGCGTTGGTTCGAGTTTGAGCAGGGGGTTCGTAAACTTCGTCGTTGTGACGTGCGTACAGAGCCAGGCTTCATCCTGGTTTACTTTTCAGAGCAGAACGCCAATAACAACCTTGCACGTCACCTCGATCGGACGGCCGTTAAAAACACAAAAATGAAGTACCCCCCCACCACACAGGCCATATACGCGGCGAGTGTAAACGAACTCTTTACGGCGACGGGCGGGAGTGAAGCAGGTGCGTACAGCAGGTCGGACGGGACGGCGGCTTGCAGGAGGAGGGGAGTCTCGCGGGGGAGCGACATGTGATGCACCTGGACGACGACGGGGGTCGGAGCGACATGTTAATGCGCACGACTGATGACGACCGCAAAGCGGCCGAACGCGGTGCGGCGACAGGTCTGTGTGTGTGCGTGTGTGTGTGTGTGCGTGTATTGGCAGCACGTGCGGGCGGCGGCGGCCGGGACGACAAGAAGGAATGGCTTTATTTCTTATTGGCAGGCGGGTCGGTCGGACACAGTCGGACGGGGCAGCAGTGCGCCCTGCCCCCCTGGATACGGGATGGGCTCGCGCGCCGCTTTCCGAGACCAGCCAACCGACCGACCGACCGACCGACCACGCGCCCCGCATGTCGGAGCAGAGAGAAAGGAGCCAGCAAGCAAGCACACACGGCAAAAGGACCCGACGAGACAATGGCTGCTTTCTTCTAATTGTTAAATTTGTTGCTTTATTGCTCGCAGAACAATTAATTATTTTACGATTTTTGTGAAAGATGTTGTGCGATAAACCACCACTCTGTACAGGGTGTCCTACAGACCCCATACTTCTTTTTATTTACTTATGCTGTACCGCATTCACGTGTGTGAGAGGGTTGCCCACTGAACTACGGGGCCTGACACACCCTGTATACGCCGTCACCCAATCACCAGAGCGAAGGCAAAGGCGCCGCTACAATTTGCCCTTATCGCTCATCGCAGGATAGCATCACGTCCAAACCAGGTGCCTCCAAAACGACCAATCAAATCGCACTGAGGGCTGAGCAAATTACAGGCTGTACGAGAAAGGTGAAAATGTTGTCACTCCTCACCGAACGGTTTGTAAAGACCTCGAGAACCAAATGCCCGACAGCAGTACGCCCGGAGACTCGTACCCGCCGCCATGGAGGCCTTCCTGTCCCTGTGCGTCTTCTGCTGTGCGATGCCCGGTGTGCGGGCCAACCTCCCGGTCGCGGACTCAGCGGCGCCCCCCGAGGCAAGGGCTGCCGCGGCCCTGCTCACGCCCTTCATGCATTCCCAGCAGGCCACCCTCGTGTTGATGGGCCAGACGCGCTGGACCGGTGCCTTCCTCCGAGAGCTGTCCGCCGACATACCGCGGATGCTGAGCCCGAGCATTGTCACCCTCTACCAACAGCATATGGTCAGTACGCGAATCGTACACGTTCTGGCGGCGACGCGCTGCGTGCACTTCGTGGCCGCGGAGGGGCTGGACGATCTGCTCTCCACAATGAGGATGCACGACAACACCAAACTGACCCGAGCCATCTTCTGGGCCTCGGTGGCCTCCCCCTCTACCCGGGACGAGGTGCTGCGGGACTTGTCCCGCGCGCGCGTGTGGCTGGGCGGGCACCAGTACGCCCTGGCGCTCACCGCCCCCGACGGCAGCACCGGCCTCTACAACCTCACCTGCCGCTCCGACGCCGCCTGCAGGAACCGCGTGGTGACCGTCCTCGAGCAGGACACGTGGTCGGCCGCCGAGCAGCGCTGGCACCGGGCGCCCGCCGTGTTTAGCGAGTTTTGTGTGTCGCGTCCAGAACGCACATGCCGGGTCCTCACCGTGTTGATGCTGAGGTCGCACGGCAGGACGGCGTCGAAATCACTCCTCGAACTCACGAAGAGTGTCGTGCACATAGTGCGCCAAGCACAGCAGCGGCAGCGCCTAGGTTCACAGAAAACCGTACGGCTCCAAGAAACATCGGAGTACAGTCACATTGACGCCGCGTTAAAGGAGTGCACTCTGGATGCGGTCCTCTCGGACGTGCCGCTCTTCACCCTGAGCGAGTCCGCGTTGCAGACGAGCGAGTTGCCCGACATGGAGATGGCTCGTGTCGCCGTCATCGTGCCGGCGGGCTTCGGCGCCGGAGTCAGCCTCCTGGACGCGGTCCTGGACGAGTTCTCTGCCGCGCTGTGGTGGGCCACGGGGGTGGCCACGCTGTGCGCGGTGCTGGTCCTGAGCGCCAGCGCCCGGCGGCGGGACGTCAGTGGCGCGGTGCTGCAGGTGCTGGCCCCAATGCTAGGCCAGGCGCCGCCGCCGCTGCCGCCGGCCCCACCCCGCCCCATGCTGGCCGCCTGGCTGCTCGCATGCGTCGTCCTGACCGCCGCCTACCAGGGCCTGCTGCTCGGCAAGCTGTTCTCGGCTGTTCCTCGGCGTGAGCTGGATAGCCTGCGCGACGTCGAGGACAGCGGGCTGCCCTTGAAAGCGCTAGCAAACCTGGCACGGGCGAACATTCTGGCCGTCAACCTGACTACCCGGATAGAGTACGTGACGTACTCAGAGTTGCAGACGGTCATCGAAGCGGTCGCCACCGCTCGCAACTGCGCGCTGATCACCTACCTGGACCGGCACGCCCAGAGCTACATGCTCCCTTACATGATGCCGCCAAAGAAGCTCCACCTCATTCAGCTGCCTTACTCGGACTTCAACATCATCGGCCTGACGACGAAGGGGCAGCTGGATCGCCTCATGTCCAGGGCGCTGATGCAGGTGGAGGCGGCGGGGCTGCTGGCGCGCTGGCGCTACGCGGAGTACGAGCGGGAGCGCCACCACTTCGCGAGGAAGCTGGTGCTGCAGCAGGGCCCGCGGACCCTGACGCTGTACCACTTGGGGCCGGCCTTCGTCGTGCTGGGCGCGGGCCAGGCCGCGGGCTTGGCCGCCTTTGCCCTCGAGGCCCTGTGCGCCTGGCTGGGACGGAGAGAGGTGCCTGGATGACTTTTTGACTTTGTCTTGGTTTTTACTTCGGTATAGTGCATTTCGGCTAACGGAGGAAGAAGAATAGCGGGTAGACCAAAAACGTTCCCGATTGGTCGTGAGATTCCCCCCCCCCCCTCTACGTCACGCCGAGGGGGTAGAGGCTCGACAATCAAGGAATCTTTATGTTGTACCCAATCTTCTTCTTCCTCTGTTAGACGAAATACACTACGAATACCGTTTTCCCTTTCCCTTTCATTCTTTGTTTTTTGTTCTTAAATTTTTGGGGAATTTGTTCTTCTAGAAAGATTTATTTGTGTTTTATTTTTTTGTTACTTCCCCTCGTATCTGGATGATTCAAAGACTAGACGCAAGGTTGGGTTTAATAAAGTAAAATAACACTTTCGTCTCGCTTTTTT